TAAAATTTTTATCAAAAATTCAAAATTCAGATTTTTGTAAAAAATTCGACTTTTTTTCCAGTTTTTCCATCGTAGTTCAGCCAAATCAAGGCGTACAGCTAAAAGACCGACTGTTTTGAACAGCTTGCTAAATATGCTAACGATCCTCATCACTTTTACGAAAATTTATTTTTTGACCAATTTTCTCAATTTTTGTAGGGGTTAGGTCACTTTTTTTCGAAAAATGGCAAAAATTAAAAATTTTCAGGCTGAAATGCCAATCGATTGGAAATTAAACAACGAGCTCAACGAGGTATGACATTCCTCATTCTGACTTATATTTTTGCTATGGCAGCAAAAAAACTGAATTTTTATGGCGAAAAAAGGGTTAAAATTTTTGTCAAAAATTCTAAATTCAGATTTTTGTAAAAAATTCGACTTTTTTTTCCAGTTTTTCCATCGTAGTTCAGCCAAATCAAGGCGTACAGCTAAAAGACCGACTGTTTTGAACAGCTTGCTAAATATGCTAACGATCCTCATCACTTTTACGAAAATTTATTTTTTGACCAATTTTCTCAATTTTTGTAGGGGTTAGGTCACTTTTTTTCGAAAAATGGCAAAAATTAAAAATTTTCAGGCTGAAATGCCAATCGATTGGAAATTAAACAACGAGCTCAACGAGGTATGACATTCCTCATTCCGACTTATATTTTTGCTATGGCAGCAAAAAAACTGAATTTTTATGGCGAAAAAAGGGTTAAAATTTTTGTCAAAAATTCAAAATTCAGATTTTTGTAAAAAATTCGACTTTTTTTTCCAGTTTTTCCATCGTAGTTCAGCCAAATCAAGGCGTACAGCTAAAAGACCGACTGTTTTGAACAGCTTGCTAAATATGCTAACGATCCTCATCACTTTTACGAAAATTTATTTTTTGACCAATTTTCTCAATTTTTGTAGGGGTTAGGTCACTTTTTTTCGAAAAATGGCAAAAATTAAAAATTTTCAGGCTGAAATGCCAATCGATTGGAAATTAAACAACGAGCTCAACGAGGTATGACATTCCTCATTCCGACTTATATTTTTGCTATGGCAGCAAAAAAACTGAATTTTTATGGCGAAAAAAGGGTTAAAATTTTTGTCAAAAATTCAAAATTCAGATTTTTGTAAAAAATTCGACTTTTTTTCCAGTTTTTCCATCGTAGTTCAGCCAAATCAAGGCGTACAGCTAAAAGACCGACTGTTTTGAACAGCTTGCTAAATATGCTAACGATCCTCATCACTTTTACGAAAATTTATTTTTTGACCAATTTTCTCAATTTTTGTAGGGGTTAGGTCACTTTTTTTCGAAAAATGGCAAAAATTAAAAATTTTCAGGCTGAAATGCCAATCGATTGGAAATTAAACAACGAGCTCAACGAGGTATGACATTCCTCATTCCGACTTATATTTTTGCTATGGCAGCAAAAAAACTGAATTTTTATGGCGAAAAAAGGGTTAAAATTTTTGTCAAAAATTCAAATTCAGATTTTTGTAAAAAATTCGACTTTTTTTTCCAGTTTTTCCATCGTAGTTCAGCCAAATCAAGGCGTACAGCTAAAAGACCGACTGTTTTGAACAGCTTGCTAAATATGCTAACGATCCTCATCACTTTTACGAAAATTTATTTTTTGACCAATTTTCTCAATTTTTGTAGGGTTAGGTCACTTTTTTTCGAAAAATGGCAAAAATTAAAAATTTTCAGGCTGAAATGCCAATCGATTGGAAATTAAACAACGAGCTCAACGAGGTATGACATTCCTCATTCCGACTTATATTTTTGCTATGGCAGCAAAAAAACTGAATTTTTATGGCGAAAAAAGGGTTAAAATTTTTGTCAAAAATTCAAAATTCAGATTTTTGTAAAAAATTCGACTTTTTTTTCCAGTTTTTCCATCGTAGTTCAGCCAAATCAAGGCGTACAGCTAAAAGACCGACTGTTTTGAACAGCTTGCTAAATATGCTAACGATCCTCATCACTTTTACGAAAATTTATTTTTTGACCAATTTTCTCAATTTTTGTAGGGGTTAGGTCACTTTTTTTCGAAAAATGGCAAAAATTAAAAATTTTCAGGCTGAAATGCCAATCGATTGGAAATTAAACAACGAGCTCAACGAGGTATGACATTCCTCATTCCGACTTATATTTTTGCTATGGCAGCAAAAAAACTGAATTTTTATGGCGAAAAAAGGGTTAAAATTTTTGTCAAAAATTCAAAATTCAGATTTTTGTAAAAAATTCGACTTTTTTTTCCAGTTTTTCCATCGTAGTTCAGCCAAATCAAGGCGTACAGCTAAAAGACCGACTGTTTTGAACAGCTTGCTAAATATGCTAACGATCCTCATCACTTTTACGAAAATTTATTTTTTGACCAATTTTCTCAATTTTTGTAGGGGTTAGGTCACTTTTTTTCGAAAAATGGCAAAAATTAAAAATTTTCAGGCTGAAATGCCAATCGATTGGAAATTAAACAACGAGCTCAACGAGGTATGACATTCCTCATTCCGACTTATATTTTTGCTATGGCAGCAAAAAAACTGAATTTTTATGGCGAAAAAAGGGTTAAAATTTTTGTCAAAAATTCAAATTCAGATTTTTGTAAAAAATTCGACTTTTTTTTCCAGTTTTTCCATCGTAGTTCAGCCAAATCAAGGCGTACAGCTAAAAGACCGACTGTTTTGAACAGCTTGCTAAATATGCTAACGATCCTCATCACTTTTACGAAAATTTATTTTTTGACCAATTTTCTCAATTTTTGTAGGGGTTAGGTCACTTTTTTTCGAAAAATGGCAAAAATTAAAAATTTTCAGGCTGAAATGCCAATCGATTGGAAATTAAACAACGAGCTCAACGAGGTATGACATTCCTCATTCTGACTTATATTTTTGCTATGGCAGCAAAAAAACTGAATTTTTATGGCGAAAAAGGGTTAAATTTTTGTCAAAAATTCAAAATTCAGATTTTTGTAAAAAATTCGACTTTTTTTTCCAGTTTTTCCATCGTAGTTCAGCCAAATCAAGGCGTACAGCTAAAAGACCGACTGTTTTGAACAGCTTGCTAAATATGCTAACGATCCTCATCACTTTTACGAAAATTTATTTTTTGACCAATTTTCTCAATTTTTGTAGGGGTTAGGTCACTTTTTTCGAAAAATGGCAAAAATTAAAAATTTTCTGGTTGAAATGCCAATCGATTGGAAATTAAACAACGAGCTCAACGAGGTATGACATTCTTCATTCTGACTTATATTTTTGTTATGGCAGCTAAAAAACTGAATTTTTATGGCGAAAAAAGGGTTAAATTTTTTGTCAAAAATACAAAATTCAGATTTTTGTCAAAAATTTGAAATTTTTTCCGGTTTTTCCATCGTAGTTCAGCCAAATCAAGGCGTACAGCAAAAAGACCGACTGTTTTGAACAGCTTGCTAAATATGCTAACGACCCTTATCACTTTTAGGAAAATTTATTTTTTTTGACAAATTTTCTCAATTTTTTTCGAAAAATGGCAAATATTAAAAATTTTCAGATTGAAATGCCAATCGATTGGAAATTAAACAACGAGCTCAACGAGGTATGACATTTCTTATTCTGACTAATATTTTTGTTATGGCAGCCAAAAAACTGAATTTTTATGGCGAAAAAAGGGTTAAAATTTCTTATTTCCGATGGGTTTTAGAACAATACCCCAAAACTCAGATTCCAGATTCCATAACTTTAGTAATTGGATCCCGAATCTATGAATTTGTGGTTGAATTCTCTAATAATTTTCATAAGTTATTTATCTTATTAGATGTTCCAATTGTTAACACATTTTCATGTTGGATATTTTCTTATTTCCAATGGGGTTTAGAACAATACCCCAAAACTCAACTTCCAGATTCCTTAACTTAGGTAATGGGAACCCGATTTGGACGTGGGATACCTCTATGAATTTGTGGTTGAATTCTGTAATAATCTACATTCAAATATTTATCTTAAGAAATGGTCAAAATTTTAACACATTTTCAGGTTGGATATTTTCTTATATCCAATAAGTTTTAGAACAAAACTCCACTTCCAGATCCATAACTTAAGTTATAGGATCCTGATTTAAACGTGACCTCTACGACTTTGTTGTTCAATTCTCTAAAAATCTACATTAAAATATATCTTTCCAACGGGAGCTAAATTTTTTAACCACTTTCATGTTTTATTCAGGGTAATGGGCTCTGGACGAATCATTTTCTTCAGAAACTTTTTATTTCTTATTAAGTTTAAATACAGATTTTAAGAGTTTTACTTATCGATTGGAACATTTTTATTAAATTCAAGAAACTTACAATTAATTTTTTATTTTTAAAGGCAAGACTGAAGATACAGTTTCCATATTGTGAAGACGTGGTCTAGCTACTTCCAGCCACGTCAGCATTGTCTCTGCCAGAATGTCCGGCCAACATAAAACGGCCAACCCTTCGCTGGGGGCCACTGCAAAGGCCAGTTTGGAATTCAATTAGCAGTCGGATGGCCGAGTGGTTGCCCTGGTGAAATTCATAATGGCTTCGATTGAGCCCGGTGATTATTGCGATCGCTGGTTGGCTGACAGCTGCAGTCGCCGCGGTTGTAAGAGCCACTTCTCCGACTGACATTCATGGCAGCCATAAGAATGCCATCCAGTTTTACAGGCCCAAAGCTGGGACTTTCGGGGGAGCAAGAGGAGGTGGATTGAGTGGGTGGTTGTGCAAAGCGAGGTGGCTGCCAAAATGCCGAGAATGCCGTAAAAATGTTTTCCCTTTTTGCCAGCCTGTTCCTTTTGTCAGCAGTCGTCCTTTCGGCAGATGCTGAAATAATGATACCGGCGCCTGCGAAGCGAGCAATCAGCCCGCTTTTCGCATCTATGCCAAGGACATGTGGGCGGTGAGTGGGTGGTCTGTGGGCTGTGGGCGTGGCACCATTGTTTTGACTATAGCCACGTGTGTCTGTGTGTGCGAAATGCATGAAACAGCCGCTTCAATTTAGACATTTTCAACGTTTATTTTGCAACAGCTGCCTTAGGTCTACGCGGAACGAGAACACTTAAAATGCGGAATTTATTATGCACTCCGCTCTTATAATTTGATATTTAAAGAAATCATTTAACGGCGAATGCAGAGGATGCTGCTCCTGATGCTCCTGTTCGCTTATACAATTTAAAAATCGCGACGCTTTTTGTATGCAATGCAATTATTCTCCATTTACAATGCACTCAGCGCGAAGTAAGCAAACAAACAAACAACGGCTTGAATGGCTTGGCTGGGATGGTATGGTATGGGATGGTAGGGTATGGTATGGTATGGTATGGTAGGGAGATTGGGAGGAGGGTGCACAAGCAGACAAGTAAATAAAATTGCAAATAAAGTAAAAATGTTGAAATGCCAAAGAAATGCACGGTACATATTTTACATTTATTCATTCGCTGATTCTGAATCTGCTTTAGCTTCTTCTGCTGTTGCTGCTGCTGCTGCTGCTGCTGCTCCTGCTGAACTCCCTCCTCATCCTCATCCTGGGGACAAAAGCGACGATGGGCGGCATGTCCTCACGCCTGTCGCCTAGTCCTGGTAAGCCGAGCGTTAATAACAACGCTTATCTGCGGCATTAGGAGGATGCCAAGCAGCAGGCTCCCACCGAACCCAAGCCCCCCTCAAAAAAAAAACCCAACGACTGCGACAAAAAATGATAATGAAAAACTGAAATAAAAGCGCAGCGGCAGCGCCAACGGACAAACAAACAAACAAACAGACGGCAAAAAAGAATGCGAAACAGGCAAACAACACAGCGCGGAGCTGAACAACCGAACAACCAAACAACTGAACAACTGAACTGCCCGGGGTTGAAGGAGGAGCACATAATTTAAGCTGCCGTTGCCTTAGCAATTGCTGCTGCCGCTGCTTTTGCTCCTGCTTTTGCTATGCTGTTGCTATGCTTTTGCTGCCTGCATCGCTGCCGGCGTGACAACTTCAACTGACAGCCGCAGAGCAGAGCCATCATCCATTATCAGCAGTTGGCCATCTTAAAGTGCAGCAGAAACAACAGCGATAATAAAAATAGGGGAGTAGACTTTTCTATACCCTATTATTGGGTAAAATTTAATGGTTAAACAAAAAATAAATAAATAAAATGAGCTATTCAATGACTTTAACTTATTTAACAAATAATTAAAGGAGATTTTCTAAAATTAGTTATAGAAGAATCCAATGAAATCTGTAAAATTTGCAAATCACTTACAAATGTGTCTAAAAGTAGGCAACAATTTATTTTAAACGACCTTGAATTGCCTAAAAAATGCCTTCCTTTTTCACTGCCTACTTTTAGACACCTAGTGATTAGCGATTTTAAACCACTAGTGATTTATTTGACGCCCTCCTAAATACTTTTTAAAGTTAGTTTCTCTTAAATTAACCTAAAATTTTAAGCCAAATTAAAAATTATTATCTAATCTTTAGATAAGCTTACCAAAAAAATAAAATACAAAACCCTTTCTGGACTTTTAGTTCCTTAAAATTAAGTAGCCAAAGAGCTTGCATAGCGAGCCTAATAAATTTAATTTTGCCAACCTAATAGGTTGAGTGTATACGTCCGCGATACACCCTGCAAAAACCCCCATTTGCCGCGGTAATACTCCAGCGTCCCGCACAGGAAGCGAATGGAAAAAGGCAGAGCGGACAACGGGTGGCCACAACAATTGCAGCAACGGCAACAGCGACAGCAGGAGCAGCGACACAAAATGTTGCGATGGCATTGTTTTAATGCATTTGGAGCAGCAACAGCAGCAAAAACTGAAAACAGAAAACAGCATAAAAAGGAGCCTGAGGATGCGGGCGCAGGATCCCGCGACGATGCCCGATGGCAATGGCCATCCATCCATCCGTGGCGTATACGCACTGTGCGCCACATTACGTATACGCACTACTGCTGCTGCTGCTGCTGCTGGTACGCCGATGGCCCCGAGGAGTCCTTAACTGTGAACGTCACGTAGTATCGCTTATTGCTGTCCAACTTTTCCGCGGGCAGTGAAATTAGCTGTTTGTTCTTTCCGTGCGACAATTCCAGCGCCACCTTGTGGTTGCAGCGGTTGCCGCTCGCGCTGCCACCCGTACCGCCGCCCATGCCGCCCGCCGCTCGTCCGCTGGAGGCGCGACCGCTGGTCAGGATTTTGGGCAGGAAGAAGCTGCTCACGCTGCCGGTCTTCTTGTACGATCCAAAGCCGAACTTTGGCATTGTGTGATGATTCATCATGGGTACTGCAATGCAAAAAAAGAGCCGTTGACAAAGCATTAGATTAATGATGGTTATACAAGGGATTCTACAAAAACCGTGACAGGTGCGTCCTGCAGGTGCGACACTCAGCTGAATTGCATGGTTGGCTAAGAACTAATGAGTAAATGGAGCAGTCGGGATTAAGAGCCTTCTCGCCGGGGCTTACTGGATACTTCCAACAGCAAAATAACCCAGCATAAACAAGGGCACGTTGATGGTGGATGGAATGAATGGCTATGGAGCAGCACAAATGAATGCGTTTTTAATTTGGCATAAGCCAACTGGACGCATCCTTTTGAGAGGCAGCTCCAGCTTCAAGTTCCGCACTGAAGATGTAATAAAAAAGTTGAAAGCCAGAAAAGCCTGGGTCGAGAATTTTTATTTTTAATTTGCCCCGCACTGAATAAACTGCTCGTAATTAGGATTTATATTTTTATGGCCCGCAGCTGCCGAGGAGATGCTTTGAATTCGAGTGTCCGCTCGTCCCACGCTTGACCCACTGCCCCGCCCGAAAGACGGCGAAAGTGTTGCCAGCCCAGTGTTGGCCGGGCGATTTGACTCTTTGGCTCTTTTGGCCAAAGCCAAAGCCTGTCTGGTGCCATTTTTCACGCTTGCACAGAGCCGCTTAAAGCCCTCGAGCAATCGGGGCAGCAAGGCGCGGCACACAAAAAAAAAGGTTTGCCCAAAAAAGTTCTTACTATTTAAATAATTTATTAAAGCTGTTAATTCCATACTTTTTTGCTAAGAAAAAAATAAGCCGATTATAAAGTCCATTTTTTTCCTTATCTATAAAGCTTGTTTGACAAGTCAAACAGGTTTTTATCAACCTTAAATAATAACTAATCCTCAACCGTATAAAAAGGTATAAAAAACAATTGAAATTCAAATAATGGCTCTTTACGAATTGAACATCCAGGTAGAACCTTTTTTAAAAACCGGAAAAAAGACAAGGATATAATTAATATATTTATACAAATTTAAAATAATATAACATAAGCATCATAAGTTTAAAATTAAATTAAATTTTAACTGACATAAACAAGAAAAGTACTCTCTAAAAATAAATCTAGGTTTATACTTGGAACAAAGATTTACCAAAAAGTCTACCCTTGTATTTATATATTTTTTTTTAAAGAATCTATCTAAAACTGAGGTAGTTTAAAAAGTTAACTAAATATGAGAGAGTTCCTTTAAGTGTTAAAATAAATTGTTATTGTTGATTTTTTATTAACCTAATTCTCTGTTTAAGAGGAGTTCCTTTAGCCCCCGCAATTTTTTTTCTGTGTGCTTCCTGAAAATATTACTTACTGTAAGCGGCGCAGGGTATTCCCGTGTAGGCATGGGCCGCATGGAGGCATCGGTGCGTCTTGGTGGTGCACTGCAGCGCCTTCTCGTAGGCATTGTAATCCGGACTTAGCCGGCGCTCCGCCTGCGAAATGGGATAAAACCGGATGAGCCACTTGGAGGAGCGGCGTCACTTAATCATGGTCCTTACCTCCTCGTACACCTCGTTGATGTTCTGGAAGTTGTTGGTGCCCGGTCGTTGGAGTCCCTTGAGCGTCTCGTAGAGGAAGAGCTCGAAGTTCTTGAATGTGTACTCGCTGAAGTTGTAGCGCCTGAGTCGGGTACCCGTTTCACCGCCCAAAAGGACGCAGGACTTGTGGTAGTCATCCACTGCCCGCTTTACCAGCACCGCCTCGTTCAATTTACTGGAGCGAATCTGTAGCGATTTGAGCTCCAGCAGATGCTGGAAGATCTTGCGTTCCATATAATATCTGTGGGGATGTATGATATCATATAAACAAAAGAAGATAGAGAAAAAAGCAGCTTTTCTTTGTCCCCATCATCCGCGAAATAACTTTGCCAGGGCCTTGCAAAATAAATGTTAGCAAATGTACGTAAATTGTCATTTTGATATTTCGCGAGTCAAACAAAAGCTCTGTTCCCTGCTGTTTCCGCTCACAAAAAGGACCTCCTTTCTGCTCTTACTACCAGCTACAAGCGCAATAAAAGGCATCATGTTATTAAAATTTCAAAAATACTAAAGTGCGTACGCGGAAAAAATTCTATTAATAATTGAGAATGGCCCAGAGAAGAGAAGCGAGTCAAATTAAAGCCGCCAACGGCACCCTCTGAGCCATAAAATGTTATTAGAAATTTTATTAAAAATTAGGCAAACAGGGCTTTAAGCGGTTTAAGATTGAGGATAAGGATATGCATCTCGGTGACCCTTCAAAGTTGCTCCCTTAACTCGGCTGCGGGCCAGCGACTCTTCTAAATCAACGAATGACGTCCGAGCCTTTTGCTTTCTGCTTGTGCTTTCTGCTTTTTGCTGAGCAGAAGCAAAAGCAGCAGCAGCGGCAGTGGAGGTGCATTCACCGAAAAAACTAAGCAAATTTGTCGAGGGCACTTGGTGTGCAAAAAAGCCGGGCTGGAGCGGCGTTTTTCGAAAATTGTTTACCCAGGAGAAGGAGACCGCTTGACACTGCTCGCCACTTGGCTGCGCAGCGCGAAATTATGCAAAACAATTTGACTTTGAAACAAAAGTTCATTGCTCGTGGGATGGATGCTAGCCGGATAGATGGATGGATGGATGGATGGATGGTGGGTCGGTGCTAGAGAGGCAGGTAATAAATAGGTAAGAATCCTTGAGAGCCAAAAGCTGCGTAATAAATTGGCCAAGGGGCCAAGAAGGAATCCCGCAGCGCGACTTCAAAGCGGTCCATCGTTCTTCCGCTTGTTTTGCTGCCCCACCAGTGGTGGTCATCTTTATCATCATGGCCCTCCTTATCGCGGCTATGGCCATCTTACCATCATCATCATGGCCATCATCACCATCACTTGTTTGCCGAAGCGCTTTTCAATTTTACGCCTCGCTTTTGGCTCCATTCGGTTGCGCTTGAGTTCTTTGCAAGTCTTTCGCTTTGTGCAAATACTTTTTGCAATACTGTCCTTGGCATATTTCCTTTTTCTTTTTTTTATGTTCTGCGAGCCACCACCCACCACCGCCCACTTTTCACTACTGCTACTGATTTCCGTTTCCGCTCTACGTTCGCCTAGTACAACTTTCATTTCATTTTCTTGTGCGCGTTGATTTTGTGTGGCACATTTTTCCACTGCCAACGCTTGCAGCGACCCACTGAGTGACAGGCCACCCAACCACCTTGGAAACCACCCAACCACCCAACCACCCAACCACCTAGCCACCACCCAGCTCTTCCTGTTTGCGACACAAATGTGACAGGCAAAAAGTGCACGCAGCGCCAAAGTGGATGAAGTGGAAAACCCGCCGGCGGCAAAGTCAGCACCACCATCACCGGCAGTGAGTAGGCGCAGTTTTCACTTTTCCCCAGCGCTGACAACGACAACAAAATGCAAAGAAATTAAGCGCTGCACAAGTTGCAACAACGACGAGTCCTGCCCGGCGGCAATTTGTGCCGCACAAGCAACACACAAAAGCTCTGGGAGAACCTTTTGCCAAGTGTTAATGGCTGGGCCAGAAACACCCAGAGAATCGTGTCCTGCATACCTGCATTCCTATATCTATCTAGTACTTCCTGGAAAATCGATGGCCTCCAAAAGTGTTGACAAAGTCGCACACCCCCAAAGAATTCGCGAAAAGTCTGCGGCCAACGAAAACTTTACCGCTTCATTTTTCATTATGGCTATATTTCTGAGCCCGTGCTTGAAACTTGGCCAAGTGGTTGGCTGAAATTTCCGGGGAAAAACCCAGAAGACCCAGAAAACCAAGATGCCACGTTAAGGCTTAAACTAATCGCTCAAAGTTAAATGAATTTTTGGTATAACAACTATCGGTATCAACATTTTAAAGTCGGTCAACAAATATGCCTAATCCCGTCACGCACGTTCCAAAAAAAAAAAGAAAATCTGGCCCAAGGACAACAGATAAACTTGGGGTCGGAAACGAAAAACGAAATCCAAATATTTAACAACGTCAATTACGTGAGCGCACATTATAAATCCCAAATCTCACCTGTGCTGCTGGGACACCCCAACTCGTAAGTTATTTGTTTAATTTATGCGTCAGATAAAATTTTAATCTCTTCGGAGCCAAAACGAGGAAACAAAAAATAAAATAAAGTTGCCCGGATCCGGGTCCACCGGTGTGAAAGCGTGCGAATGCAAAAATAAAATGAAAAAAAAAAACGAAATAAAATAAAGTCTCTATTTACACACTTTTCATGGTATTTTCCTGGTCGAAACCCCCTGCAAAACTTCCACTCCGCAAAAAGTATTCGACTGGGAGCTATGGATTCACTTTTTACTTATTTTTTTAGCATTTATTTTTACTTTGCCGGGTGAATTCTATTTGGATTTTCGCCCACACCAATCCCGTCGAGCGTATATTCTTCGGGAATTAATTGACTCACCCCCGTCGACTTGTTGAGGAACTTGTTCGGAAAGTTGCTGAGCAAGACACTTGTTTGACTTTCGGTTTTGCGTACATTGCGTATACGCCGCGTATTTGTCGAAACCTTAACATGGCGCAATCTCGCCTCTGGTTTCTGCTGGTTTCTTCTGACTTCTCCTGGTTTTGGCATCCAGCTCTCCTCTTCCTTTGGCTTATGCAAACAGCCGAGTTAAATATTTTCATTAGTCAAGTGGAAAGAATTATTTATGAAATGCGCTCGCCGGCCGGAGAATTCGCTTCTGTTTTCGTTACGTTATTGTTTTGTTTTGTTTTTCTTTGTCGGTGAATGTTTGCAAATTTATTCATGGGCTACAAGGCAGATTAGCAAAATTAATAAAAGTCAGCTTATGCTTTTTAATTAAGTTTTGCGGGCCCCGGCTTATGCAAATACCATAAATAAATACAATTGACTTTTAAGTTTGAGCAACAGCTTAGGGCCATCGATCCATCACCAGCAAGGAATGACAAAATTAAATTAGAGCCACACGAGGTTTCCACTTTCCATTTGCTAGTGTGAGTTTAGAGGGATGGGGATATTGCCGGGGGGAAAATCCCCCAGGGGGTGGCACAAAAAGATTTTCCGGAAACAAGCCGGCAAACGAAGAGCGAACACAAATGGTAATCGTCCCTGCCTTCGAGGACCTCTAAAAATGCCCTCGCTAATCTGCACTAATTCCATTTACAATTAGCATTAGCGAGTTGTAAACGGAGCCAAAGACTTTGCTTTCAGACAGCGGGTACGACTGCCTGCTTGCGGCTAATTTTCATATTTTGTTCAAGTTTCTGCATAAACAAAATATCCCACAGCAGGTGGCCATCCCAACCCCCCATTTTCACCACTTTCTCTTTGCCACTTTCACCCCCCCAGGATTCTGTGCAGCTAATTAAAATGCGCAACTCTTTGCCGGAAATGAGCATTTCGGCTAATGACAAGAGAGGTTTGGCAGCGGACGAGATTTTCGGGCCATTCGAGGGCAGTGGAATAAATCAGCCAGGATATTAGGGCAGTGCTGGACTTGACCTAATTATGAGTTACGTTTGGGGGCATTTCTTCTTTATTCTTTTGGTAATTAAGCAGACAAATGGGGAGTAGAAAAATAAGTTGTCACCAATAAATGTGTCAAAAAGGGACCACTGCCCACCTGTTGTTCTCGCAGTTAATCCTTATGAATACATAGTTCATGCTCAAGTACACGGTAAATAAACATTAATGCCGCGTTTATTGCCTTTAACCGCATTATAATAACTTTAAAGCGCTACTTTTTATGGCGAACGGAAGCTGGGCAATTTATTTGCTGACCAGCGCAACAATGGAGCAACCGCCAGCCCAAAAAACAAAAAGAAGAAAAAACCAGAGAAGCCAAGAAAAGAAATGAGAAATGCCGTCCAGGCTATTAAATCCCTGGCTAAATTAACTTTAAGGCGGCCGGCTTCGTCCAGTTTGATTACATTAAGGGGATACCGCAACTGCGGAGCTGAAGTGCGCGCGTGATATAATGCGAGGAGGTTCAGTGGCAGTGGGACATTCAAGTTGATTAAAATCAAGCATCAAGTAAATAAATCTACGGCCAAAAAGGCAGCGTCGCTGGCGCCACTAACTGCCTGGAGATTAATTTAAATGAATGAATCCCGCCATCAACTCTCCGGGGCTCGCAACTCCCCACAATCACGGCCAATCTGTCCCGCTTCCTCGAGCACGGGGGAAAAATCGGATAATTTATAAGTTTACCATTTGCATAAATCGATTCGATACATATTTTTCAGGAATTTTGTAAATCTAAAGAGGGACACATTTCGAGGGCTTAATGTAAAATTGCATCAAGTTTTTTGCTGCTGGCCAAAGGCTTTAAAAAAGTTGTCACAGAAATCACAAGTTTCTAAATGCTTCATAATGCTGTCAAAAAGTATGCAATAAAAATGGAACAGAATGGTTTCGTCAGGCTTTTGGGTCTTACATTTATTGTTGCATACTTTTAAGCTCTTTTAAAATGATTTTAAGACCAGTGCTTTCGGTGGCATTTTTTAGTAACGTATAAGCTTTCTCTTAGAGCTCTGCTGACTAAAATCCTATTACAGGATGGCACATAAGACACTAGAATTTAGAAATCACTTGTTATGTCGATGTTATGTCCCCTTTTAAAAGGAATTTATTGGACTACTGTATTCACAGTATGTTGTTGCATACTTGTAGATATCTTCATAAATCATTTTAAAACCCAAGTGATTTTTATGATCTTTTTAATAATTTTTCAATTTTCCTTTAGTTTACTCACCTCCTGATGTTGCGCTGTATGGACCTGGTGACGGCTCCCATGTCGCAGGCTCCCTTATCGCCTGGCTTGCGGTTCTCCATCCTGCTGCTGCAGGATCTTCCATCCAAAGTGGCGTAGATGGGTCGGCGCGGCATGTGGGCAGTGTGGGCGGACCGCAGAGTGGGTATCTTGCTGCGCTCCGCCCGAGGACTGGGCTCAAAGCCCGAGTCCTGATCCTTAGTGGTGGCCAAAGCCATGTTGCTGCCATCGAGTGAATCCTGAGAGTTTTTCCAATTGCTGCGCGTTTTGTTGCCGCTGCGCACGCGCTTTTTAAGACGGCGTTTCCTTCCATTACCCATCCCCTCTGATGTGTCATCTGCAATGGATCCTCCAGCTGCGGCTGCTCCACCCAATCCTCCTGCTCCAGCTCCAGAACTTCCAACTCCATGTCGATTTCCGCTGCTGAGAAAACGACGCAGTGCACTATCATGCTCTGGATCCATACCATCCCTATCGTCATCGTCGTACTCATCATCGTACTCCTCATAATCATACTCCATCTTCTCCAGCTCCGAGGCACTGGGCAACTGGACCGCAGATGCCCCCTCGCTCACCACCTGAAAGACTTGATTGCCTGCCTGGTCGTAGTCGACCTTGCGCCCAGGTCTCTTGCCATTTTCATCCAGGGAGTCATCGCTTTTCAGCACTTGGAAGCTCGATTTCCGCTCGATGGCTGGCTCATCGGAAGCTGAAGCTGGAGGAATGGAATTCGGATTGGGAACTGGGTCATCGTCCGCCGAATCGGAGGCCAGGAGTGTGAAGGAGCGCCTCGTCTCCTGTTCCCTTTGCGGTGGCTCCTTCGGCTGGGAGGTGGGCGTTTGGGCTGTGGATGGGCGTGGCTGTGGTGCGGTTGGCGGCTTTTTCGGCTCTGCTGGGGGAGCGGTGGGTGGTGGAGTGTGTTGCGGAGTGGGTGTTGGACTAGGATTGCTATTTGGTTTCGGTTTGGCTTCAGCCTGCTCAATCTGCTCGGTTTTTTTGCCATCAGAAGGTGGCTCTGAAGCCACAGATTCAACCCCTTCGGCAGTGTTGGCATTTGGCTGTGGTTTCTCTCCTCCAGCCTCCTCTTTTGGTTGTGGTGGGGGCGTGGCAGGCTTAGAGGGTGGTGGCGCATTGGGGGTTGGAGGCTTTGAGGATTCCTTAGCAACCTCTTCAGGTTTTTCCATTGCAGGTTCTTCACTTTCTTTGGGAAGCTCTTTCTCCTCTGGCTTTTCCTCACTAGAGGAACTCTTGGACTCGCTGCTCAACGCAGTGGCTGCTATCTTGATCACCTGCTCCACTTCCTTGGACAACAACTGGGTTTCCTCTTCACTTAGCTGCAGCTTAACTTCCTCCTTCTCCTTACCATTTTCCTCTACAGCTGGTTGTTCCTCGGAAGATTTGGAAGTCTGATTCTCCTCGGCATCATGATGAACGTCCACCTGTGTCACCACCGACTTGGCCGCCTCCTGTTCTTCATCTGTTAGCTCCACTGCATGGGATTCCTCCACCAGAAGACTGTCCATTGGAGCGGTTTGCTCACTCTTGGCGCTTTGGGTTGGTGACTTGATGAAGGTTCCTTCCTTTGTGGGCGAAGATGGGGGTGGATCCTTCGCACTGGAATTCCTAGCCTGATGATCCCCATTAACGGTCAGAGGTTTCCTGGAACCCTTTTCCGGCGAAGAGTTGGCTGTATGATTCTCCTCTTCGCTATCTTCTCGGTTTTTTGACTTCCTGGAGGAAGTGGATCGCTTGCGGGAAACCACACGATCTTTTTGCCTTTTGTGGTAGCAGCAGTTCTCGCAGGAGTCCTCCTCATCGTCCTCCTCCTCCCACTCACTGGAGCTGGCGTACCGCTCGCGGGATTTCCTCCTCCGAATCTCGATGTTGCTCTTGGAGCGGCAGATCTCACTGCATCGCTCGTGCTTGGACTCGCCACAACTGCTGGTCCGCCTCCTCAGTTGCCTCCTCTTGTGCCGACGGCAAACATGCCTCATACGCTGCTCCTTGCGGTAAGTCTGCTCCGAGCAGCTGCAGTCCCCAGGATCGGGTTCCTCCGCCTTACCATTACCATTCCCATTTCCATTATCCGAATCAGAGCGCTTTAGGTAAACCACATACTTCTTGGAGCTACGCAGATCATGCAGTTCCTCCTTCTCCACATACTTTAGAGGTCTCACCATATCCGTGGCATTGGTTTCATGGAAGGGATTCCCAGCCCTTCTGCTGGACAATCTTACTTTATTGGCCGGTTGACCCCCGTTGGCCTGAAGGAACTTGGCCGTGGAACGATGACCCCTCTGCAAAGCTCCATCTAGTGGTGTCAGGACCAATCCTCTGGAATTCCTATACACGGCATTCACATCTGCTCCGTAATCCAGTAGAAGTTTACACATATCCGTGTAATCATTAGCAGCCGCAATGTGCAGAAGACTACGTCCATCATTGCTAGTGGTGTTCACCTGTTTGGGCCGTTGGTTGAGGAGCCACTCCAAGAGCTCCCTTCTGCCAGAGGCGGCGGCCTCGTGGAGCGGCAGATCCCCCTTGGCATTGCGCAGCCAGAGGTTAGCGCCGCGCTCCTTTAGCAACTTCAAGGTCTCAAATTGTCCTTTGGAGCAGCCGCAGTGGGCTGGTGTGCGTCCCTTGCGATCCTGACGATTGGGATCCGCCTCCAGGTCCAACAATCTAGCAGTGGCATCCGCATGACCCAAAGTCACGGCATAATGCAGGGCTGTGCAGCCATTGGAGTCGATGAGATCAGAGGGGGCACCACAAAGGCCTATTAGGGTGTCAATGCATTCGGTGTGTCCTCGGGAACCAGCACAATGCAAGGCAGTGAGGCCATCCCTGAAAGGATTAGTACATAGATATATGGTGAATAGTTAACAGAGGTCGTATAAAGAACCCACTTATCCGAGGACTCCACCCTGGCACCCGCTTTAACCAGGGCAATCACTGCCTTGGCTGATCCTGCAGAGGCGGCCCAAAGAAGCGGCTGCCTACCATCTTTGTCCTGGACATCCACACTGCTCTGGGGATGGGACAGCAGGATGCCCAGGATCTCCAAGGAGAGCCTCGAACTGGTGCTGGAACTGGCCTGCTGTTTGCTATCGTGACTGGCTCCGCACATCTGGGCGGCATAGTGCAGCGGAGTGCCTCCATTGGCGTCCGGCTTGGCCACACTTGCTCCTGCCGCTAGGACCGCTCGCAAGGACTCCACCTCACCGCATACTGAAAATGATTCATTAATAATATAAATTAAATTAAATTATATTAAATTATATTTTTCATTAATTAAAGCATATTACTAATTTGCATACAAGTTTTTTTTATTAATCTACTTAAAACTAAATTGATTCAGCACAAATTAATCATATTAATTAGTTAATCACAGTACACTTCAATTAATTAAAACTTTTCTAGACCATGTATACAAATAGCTTTTATGGCTTTAATTGATTGGAAAGTGCTTGCGGACCTAAACAAATAGTTGATTTTTTATTTGCAAATGTAATTAATTTAGCTCTCTATTTAGCTGGTTTAATGCAAACAAAACTAAAGATTAAATAAAAATTGTTTGCTTTTAGGTGACCAAATAAAAGAAGTTATTAAATCAATAAAATTGTACAAAAACCAGACTACAGTGGCTACAGGGGTTATTAGACATCCGATTATAAAAACGCGCTCTAAGAACCTATCCTTCTCATATAATCATACTTAGATAGCAACTTTAGCTACGAATATTGTTAAATTATTTAAAATGCTTAAGCAAACTTCGAATGTTAGGAATGCTGTTTTATAAATAATCCGTTGTCTATAGACTAATTTTAATAATCAAAGTCTTTAAGATCAATTAGTTGAAAGTAGGAACTACAAATAATATCCATTTCATCTCTTAAAATATTTCTTCTTTTGTGGGATAGAATGATTTTTGTTAAGGAAGCTCCACTGTACTGTTTGTCATCCGAACACTCACCCGTGGCCCAGTGCACCACCGAGTGGCCCTCGTTGTCCACCGCATTCACGTCCGCCTTGTTGGCCAGCAGCAGGTTGACCATGGCCAGGTTGCCCTGGATGACGGCCAGGTGGAGCGGGGTGAAGCCATCCTCGTCCGCCGACTCCAGCAGCTCGGGGGCTGCGATCGCGATGCTGGCGGCCGCCACGAGGTCCTTGCTCCGATCGACGTCCTGCGCGGCACAGTAGTGCAGCGCGTTGCGATGACTTCGGTCCCGCTGCCGCAGCAATTGGGGCTAAAAAAAAAAAGAAAAATACGGGGAAAATCCAGTTAAAAGAGGGTTCAAAAATTAATTACTTCGCCCGCCGGAAAATTATGGGCAGGCGATTGCACCTGCTGAGTTGAGGCCGCAGCCGATTAATAAACTAATTAAAATGCCATTTGCATATTGCATCAATTTGCATCACGGCAACATACCAGACCCGCCCACTGCCGCCGCCCACGGGCAACGTTTGATGGATCGCGTAATTCTCACAGTCTCCGGCTTAATTGCCAGCAAATATTTTGGTGAAAGTATATGGTAAATGCCATGTATATATATATCGAGTGGAGTGTAGTGTTGTTTATTTATTGGTGGTTGTTTCGATGGGTTGTCAGCCGGCCTTTTGTGCGTGTGTCGAGTGGCTGATTGGCGGGGCGAAAGCAATTACTTTTTCCAAACGCATCACACCTCCGGCTGGACATTAAATGCAAAACACGCCGGCCGGCCAATTAATAATTTAACATATTCTCGCGTTAATCATGCAGAAATTATTGCAAACAGTGAGAGAGAAATGAAAAAACAAGCGTGGAAAAATGGCCTTTTGCGAACGGCTGTTGGTCAGTAACTAAAGCAACACGCCGCGCAGGTAAACAAACGGAAAGCGTCGCCTGGAAAGGTCCTGCCAAAGGTCCTGACTGGAAGGGTTGCTAGCCAAAGCCGTTGTCCTGGGCAACGTGGTGAGTTGCCAGGGCAGGTGTGGTAATTGTTAGTTGACTCACCAGATTATCGCTAGCTTTTTTGGCGCGCAAAACAATATCGAACTCCAGCGGCAAGGCGAACATGCTTCGTCCTGCCAGGCGCAGGACCTCCTTCTCTTCCCTTTGCGCCAAAGGATTTTGGAAGGAGCAACGAGCGTGGAGCGTGTCAAAACATGTCAAGTGCACAAAAAATACTGTCGCCGCCGCCGAAAAGTATGCTAAAACTTTGCCCGCTGCTGCCAGGAATTCGCAATGCGACGACAGCGACGTCGACAGCAGCAGAGGCAGCGACGTCAGCGGCATCACGCAAATGTGAAAGTGAAAACGTTGGCAAATCGTCGGCCAACAGGGCGGATGATGGTTGTGGGGTATGGGCCAGGACTCATAGTCCTCGTCCATGGGCGCCGCTTATTAGGCTTCGCAACTAACTTTTCTTGCGGCATAGTTTGTGCTAATTTCCTGCTGCTCCCACACCTCCTTATTTTTCGCCTATCTGCCCACTCACTCAGAAAAATCAGGTCCCCCTTTGACAAGACACTAATTTAAGGCCCTAAAAAGTTTCTTTAAACTTTTTCTATGACTTTTCAGAGAACTATTAGGCGTGTAAAAAATTCTTGTAAAATGTTCTAACTTCTACGTTGAAATCAGTCAGCAAAAACTATTCTGTTTTTTATAAATTCATATAATATAACATATTTCAGAGGAATAACAGTCCAATTAGCAACCAACTTTACAAAAAATATTGGCAAACATGGTGATTTTTTATTATTTTTTGTTGACAATTTTTGCCCTTTTCACATTTTTATGCGAAAATAATCGAAAAAAAATGTTGGAATGCGAATCGATTGTGAATTTTATTTCGATTTTAACGAGGTAAGACAATCAATGTATGTTTTGAACTTCTTTTGTATAGTTTTCGCCGAAAAAAAATGATTTTGGCATTAAACATGAATTTTTGGGCGATTTTTCCTAGCAACTTAGGTAAAATTTAACCAACAGCACGGTTTTGAATGTCATTCGATTTGGAAGATTTTTACAAGCTCAACAAAGCATTAAATTCCATATCCTGGCCAGTGTTTCTATTGTATTGGGTACTTTTTTGACTGTTCTGTGTAAAAAATTGAGATCATGATTTATTAATGAGTTAAGATACCTTTCCTATAAAACCTATTAATTTTTCGAATCCGGTGGATCTGGTGTTTATCTTGTCAGTATGCCTGAGTGATTGACTGTGTTGCTTTTCTAACCAACATTCAATTTTTACAAACAGTTCGGGCACGCTGCCCTTCTATTTATAACGCTAGGTGGATATCGCGTGACTGTCGTAAACTGTCGTGAGCGGAGTGGAGGCCACCTTTCTCCTTTCCCCTTTCACCTGTCCCCCCTCCGAAGCCCCAGGAAGTGCTCAATTTATTGCACATTTTAGTATGAGTCAAACAAGAGTTCAATAGCTGTAGAAGAAAGTAAGCCAAAACTCTTGTGGCAAGAACAACAAAGGCCGAGAGTGGAAAGTAAACTTTGACTATTAGGCATTTGCGTGTTGCATGGGCGCACTTGAGGGGGATACTTTGAGCCCAGAAAGTGCTTCTTGTGGGGCAGCAAAAGGATTCCCAGATCTTCAACAGGTGCGATTCGTTGGAAAAACCCACAAAAAGTTAATTTCACCCAAGTTAAATATTTAATGTTTCACTTAATTTACAGTTTGCTCTCGAATATGGTGCGAATTTTTTCGCCTTTATCGCTGTGGTATTTCCATATTTCTTTGTTGATTGAATCGAATTTGAGCTGCGGCTACGTTTCCCTTTTTGTTTGCCAGCAAAAACTTTCTGCTGCAATGGGGGAAAATGTTTACAATGAATGATTTTTATTTGCTGCTTCCGTTATCTTTGGCCAGCTTTTTCAGCTTTTCTGCTGGTCTGAGTTGCCTGTTTGTTTCTTACGCTGCCGTCCGGATTATGAATAATTCAAATAAACTGAAATGATACCTAAAAACTTTGACAGCCTGGGCTGGCTACAATAGGGGGTAAAAATAAGGAATACAGAACAAAAAAAAAAACAAATTCAAAAAAGGACCTCAGGATGGGGCAGTGTTGCTCTGGCTGCTTTGTTATTATTATGATGATGATGCTTGGTGTGATTGTTGCCGTATTCCTTTCGCCCTCGCCCAACATCATCATCAGAAACCACCCACTGGCCGCTTCTGTTGGTGTCATGCAAATTTGCATTCAACTTTCTACATTCACCCGACACAAAATGAAATGCGATAATCAAATACGACCAACAACAATGCGCTCAAAAGGCAGCAACAGCAGCTCCAGCTGGCCCCCTCCAATAACCCCCCCTGCCCCACCACTGCTCTTGGCCAGATAAAACTTTGGCACTGCCAGTTAGCCAGGCCAACAGTCCGCCAGTCCAGTTGGCCCACCAGTGCGATTGCCATCGCCATTCGAGTTCCTGTTTATGCCATTTTAATAGTTCTTTAAACAAATAAAACGTGCCTGGGCCACATAAAAATGGGGTCACAACGGGAAAAATATCACGAGTTCCAGAGGTTCTTAAAAAGGGTTCAAAAAACGAAGCAGAAGACTTATAGACCATGCCTAATTCTATAAAATATTCATTTGGCAGTAAATAAGCACTCCAAAAATCACTTCAACCGTTAATCTTTTAATAAAAGAAATATATTATTTTGAAACTATAAAACAGAATATTAAAAAGTATTATAAATTCCAGAGGTTTTAGAAGGGAACAGAAAATAAAGCAGAACTCTTCCATCAAAATATTATCTTATATTTGTTCAAAATTAATAATATTATCAACTATTTTATTTTGAAAGAAAAGTAATAATATATTTAACTTAATATTTGCCTTTAATTTATATCGATAGGAATCTACCGTATCTTTTACAGATATTTTATTACATATATTGTATTCGTTGAAAACTTCATCAAATATATATGCTTAATAATTAAATTCCTGTATAAATCAAACCCTTTGATGACTGTGTAAAATTATATAACATTTATTTATTCAGTAATATAACCGCACGCAGAATTAACTCCACAACTCCCCGGTAATAAATGAGGAAAAACTCGCCAGCTAGTCCATCTGGGTTTGTTTATCTCACTTTTAGTTTCGTCAGATTAATGGCAAATGAGCTGCAAGCCAACACAAAAGGTGAACATTAAAAAGCACGAGTCAGGATTTATGGCAGCCGTCCGGCAAAAAAGCTAAAAAGCAGTCCGGAGCAACAGTTAGGCTGGTAAAGACATAAAATTTCGCATTTTACGATTGCTCATCTCGAACCCACCCAACTCATCCTTCAGATATAGATACCTATATGCACGTGTTCTGAGCTGGGCCTTTAAGAGCTTCCGGAAATGCCGAAACGAAACGAAACGACAACTAAACTTAAAACTTCCTTTGGGTTTTTTACACCCAGCAGCCGGCATACAGGACTTAAGGGGCCAACAGATTTATAAGCCAACAGTTCGTCTGAATGGAAGCCCCGAACAGAAACAGAGGAAAACAATTTGCGTTGCTCTCGAAAAACAGATATAAAGATATCAAATATTCGACCACTTCCTCCTGCTGCTGGTCCACGGCATTTGCATAACTGAAGCGACAACTGTCGACGTTGTCGTTGAAGTCAAAGGACGAATCGCACAGGACCCACAGGATCTGCTCGAAATCAGAGCCTCCAACTGAAGTGTGTGGTCAGCAGTCGCGTTGTGGCCGGGCTTATTATTCATATATCGTAGGCCATTAGCATAACAATGAGTTGGAGACGGAGATGGAAGTGTATGGTCACAGAAGTCATAGGATGTGTTCTACTCCTTTGATTCACGAGCCTGGAATGTAGGCGTGCATGACGCATACGCCGTGTGGCACCCGCACCCGCTCCCTGTACCCAAGTTGTAAGGGGTTTTACGGCCAGGAAGTGCGTACAAATATAAATAAAGCATAAATAATAATGAAAGACGACGCAGCCGCCACAAGAATAACAGCAGGCACACAGTTACATGATAATGCATAAAAAATAAAATACATGCATGGTCTGAAAGCCATGAAAGGGCACAAAATGGCAACTGGCATCTCGTAGGAGCCTCGGGTATCTCAGGATATACCGGGGAGGAACCGAGAATTCGACTTAACGCTTCGTTGGGCAGCACATCCGCCATAATTATGTGTGACGCGTCTGGGGAATGGCACATTAAAAGGTTGGGAGTAGAGAGCCCCAAAATGGGGGCCCAGCAGGATAACTCCTGGATAACC